TAGCCGGTGGCCAGACCCTTGGCGACCGTCATGAAGTCGTGTTCGCTGAGCGGTCCGTTGCGCAGGTACGTCTGCAGGTCGCTGTCGCACAGCTCCATGATGATGTGGTAGAAGCCGTCTTGCAGCACCAGGTCGATGATGTGCACGACGTTCGCACACGACAGCTTTCGTACCGTGTTTAGCTCGTCGCAGTTTGCCGCGTTGGCTGGAATCTTCTTCACCGCCACCGCTTCGCTCGTCGCCGCATGCTGTCCCCGGTAAACGCAGCCGAACGTACCACGACCCAGCAGTGCCGTCGGGTCTTCCTCATCAAACACATAGTCTCTGACGATCATGTTCCCCGTGCGACAACCCTAGACACGAACTTTGCAGTCGGTCGGTTAACAAACGCGACGGAACTCCTCATTGACTTCTATTCTCAGCGGCGTAAGTTACGAATCAGGGGTGGGGAGGGCCAAGTACGAAGTAAGATACAGAAAACGGCTCACTTCTGGTGGTTGAAGAAACAAACCTAAATGATTATGCAAGTCCCATTCATAAATTCCCTCATTCCACGTTCATTCACTCATTCATTCATTCATTCATTCTCGCAATAAATGAGTAGCGAAGCTCGGATCACTAGTTTAGGTGCATAAGCTGCCAAAAACACACTGGAAAACGCCAGAGAAAATTCGCTATTTGTGTTTTTTCATACAGATATATTCTGTGCCATACTCGTGACGGTGAATGAAATGATGCTAGTAATTGTTCGATCATTTATTCATAAAAATAATTAATTGAACACACTGTCATTCAGTAAAATCTTCGTGTAAAACTAGATTGAATATAAACGTATGGTCGATCATATCATCACTCTTCTATGGTTCAGTTCATTGGCCACTGAACTGGTTTAGTTAGAACTTTCGGATTCAGCCTATGATGTAACATACGTTTAGCGTACTGAAAGTCGACATTGCAGGTACTTAACCTGGGTACACGAAAAAGTGCAGTATACCGTCAGATTTGCAAGCTTAATAAGCGCTCCTACGCAGTTCTTCCCAGGTGGTGTTTCATTCATCTATTCCAGTGATAAGAAAAAAGTTTCTTGTTCCCCATTGCTTGATATCACGCAACAGACTTCTTTTCAATTTTCCAGATGGCTTGTTCACGAACTATCGTTCTTATTTCAGGTGCTAAACGCATTTAAAAATGTTTATTCATGTTTTCAGTGAGGATCCATGCGAATGGTGCCCTCCACCCCCCTACCCCTGAACGCATTTGTCCGGATTTGTAATCAACGTGTCATCTTCAACAGGAACTCTTTCAGTTCGGTTCCTCAAAATCAATCATCAAATCCTTGTCTTTTCGTGTCCATCAACGCAATGGGACGGTTGACTTCAGTATATACTAATCTACTAACGAGGTTGTCTGCATACGCCTCTCAACGTACACGTATGACAGTCCGGCAAGCGTCAAGCGTAAGCTTAAAAATATTGACTGAGTTACTACGTCAGCGCAGAAGCTCGAAAGGACGTGACTCGACTCCAGCAAGCAACAATATTTGCGATGAATCCATTTAATGATGTCAGGGGCGTTGGTTCAGTTGTAGGTACCCTGTTGGTCCGCCGAAGAAAATCCCTGCCAAAAAGATAAACGTATCATTTGGCTCCTTCTGAGCAAAGCAATGCATCGAAAAGTTTTGGTCCCAGGCGATATCACTAAATGGCAACTAGAAGCACTGTTCTGGTGAGTATTTTATTGCATGATTTACTACTAAGTTAGAGTACGAATAAGTAGTCTTATGTAAATACCGGCAAGTCGACTTCCTTCACGATATCCTTCCAGCTTCTTCCCAGCT